CACTAGAATAACAAATTTACACGAAGAGGCAGGCATTGCCAATATAGATTCCAAAATTAACGAAATTAAGACTAAATTTGCACAAAAATGTAATTTATCAGAACATGCTTTGATAAGCAATTTGTATATAGTAGATTAGGTGTATATAGTAGTTGTAGGTTAGTTGTAGTTGTAAATAGTAGTTATAAGTAGTCTCCTTTTTCAAATTTTCAAACAAACCAATCCCACCAAGGTGGTCATTCTCTAAAACAGGCCTGATAGGACTAGGAACTGTAATTAATAATAATTGAAATTTCACAGGAACTAAAGTTGAAAAGACGCATCTGTGTCACTTGATAAGCTATACATGTAAACCACACAAATTCAAGAAATATAGATCATTTAAGTCAAAAAAGTCAAACCGCTTCGGACGGCGTGGTACTAGGTCCTGCAGCAAGCCACACCAAAGCGGACTACAACAAAATCATACTCCACACCAAAGCGGACTACAACAAAGCTTTGGCTTCGCTGAAGAATTCCAAAGTGGAATTTTTCACACACGACATCCCGGGCGACAAGCCATTTAAGGTAGTTTCCGATGCCTTCCGAATTTCGAAACGAAGGTGATCGAAGCTGAAATTAAAGACCGGTACAAGCTGGCCCCCATCGCCGTTTTTCGGATCAAGAGGAGGAACGAAAGCCAGAGGAAGTACCAGGATTGCCTTTTCCTGGTACACTTCAAGAAGGGGACGGTGACGCTTAATGCGTTGGGAGTCCTATCGTGGTGGCCGCCGCGATGTAACGCAGTGTCAGCGCTGCCTGAATTCGGACACGGCACCCGACATTGCAACATCAACCCACGTTGCAGCTTCTGCACCAAGGACCATGCCTCCTCCAACTGCCCAGATGACAGTCCTGAGGTTATCAAGTGTGTCAACTGTGGCGGTGCTCATCAGGGCTCTGACAGGCAGTGCCCCAAACGCGAGGAGTTCAAGCGTATCCGAAAGGATGCATCGACCTCCAACCAACCAGAACGTAAGCAAAATAAGTCCCCGACTTTTGGGTCAGGTGATTTTCCGCCTCTTCGAACCAACCAGGCACCGCGAGTGCAACCCACTCCCCCTCAACCAACGCCCGGTGAACAAATTCCACTCCCCCTGGATCCTGGAGAACACCGCCAACGCTAAAAGGTATGTACTCCGTGGACGAGTGTTGGAACATGTTCGTCCATGTTTCAAGCGCTTTCCGCAAGTGCACCAACAAGAACGAACAGTTCGAAACTATCGTGAAACTGGCTATGCATTATGGCGTCTAAACCACTATGCATAGTCATATGGAACGCTTGCTCCTTAAGAGCAAAAACCATCATACCATCGACGTGGGCCTTCTCACCGAGACCCACCTCAAGTCCGGCGACAGTTGCTGGTTATCGGACCACAACATCATTCGGCTTGATCGTACCAGCTCCAAGGGGGGTGGTGTTGCGATCATCATCAGAAAAGGGATACAATACCGCAGTCTGTCCGATATCCGCACCTCTATCATCGAGGCCCTGTGTGGAGGTGGAGTCGGCGACTGGATAAGTCCAGTTCATCGCCGTCTACTGCCCTCGACAGTGTGCCGCCAGCAGCGGACTAGCGGCTAAATTCAAGAAGGACCGGGCCACCATCACCCGAATCGGTTCCCGCTTCGTTGTTGGAGGAGATCTGAATGCTCGCCATGAGGCCTGTTTGAACTACCAACAGAACGAGAACGGTCGTCTGCTGTTCGACTATTCGCAGCATGGGCTGTACTCCGTTTGATTCTCGGACGAGCCAACATTCATCTCACCGGCAGGCCACCCATCGACGCTAGACCTGTTTCGTACAAATACTGGCTTGTCCAAGCCGGTAGTCTTGAACGAACTATGCTCCGACCATCAACCGGTGGTGGCTGAACTGGGATACAACGTAGCTCCTGCTCCAAGCCTGCGCAAGGACTACCATCGCATAAACTGGGCCCAGTTTGGACGCGTGGTAGACAGGCACATCATCGACAAACCGCCGCTTGACTCCGTGGAGGACATCGACCGAGCGTTGGGGGGACTTCACCAAGCCATAACCGTGGCTGACGAGGCGTGCGTCCGACGAGTTCCTGTGAGGGGTAAGTTTATTGCCATTGATTCCCACACCCAACTATTGATTCGACTCAGAAATGTTCGTAGACGCCAATTCCAAAGAACCGGAGATCTAGCGTGGAAACGTGAAATGGCCGATCTGAACAAGGAGATTGCTTCCAGAATGGTTTCACTCCGGAACGAAAGTTTCGGGCGGCTCATCCAGAATCTGGACGACCGCTCCAGATCATTCTGGAAGGTTGCCAAGTTCCTAAAGACGCACCCCAAACTTATTCCTCCACTCAAAGATGAAAATGGTGACGATCGGTTCATAATCACTCCTCAGGAGAAAGCAAATGCGATTGGTGAGCATATTGCCAAATCGCGCTTGCTTGGCTTCAACATGCAAAGTCCGCTCGAAGTTCAGGTTGAGCAATGCGTACTCAACCTTGATTCCTTCCCTTGTGCCATCCCTCCGGAGGATAGAATCACAGTGGATTAGATTTGCTCATCGCTGAAATGCACCAAAAACATGAAGGCCCCCGGGTTTGACGGAATATTCAACCTAGTATTGAAAAATCTCAGCATGAAGGTTCACTCTCTGCTGGCTGCTGTCTTCAACAGATGCTTGGAACTGCACTACTTTCCAAGTATCTGGAAGACAGCGAAAATCATACCTATCCGCAAACCCGGGAAGGACCCAACGCTAGCTTCAAGCTACAGACCAATCAGCCTCCTTTCAGCGCTGAGCAAATTGTTCGAGAAACTCATTCTCAATCGTTTGCTCAAGTTTGTAGAGGAAAATAACATTCTCCTTCCGGAACAGTTTGGGTTCAGAAAGGGGCACTCCACCAATCACCAGCTAGTGCGAGTGATGAATAATATCCGAAGTAACAAAGCTGTATCCAAGTCCACAGCCATGGCATTGTTAGACGTTGAGAAAGCGTTTGATAATGTCTGGCACAATGGGCTTGTATACAAGCTCTGTAACTTCAACTTTCCATTACATCTGGTTAAAATCACCCGTAGCTACCTCCAGCAAAGGTCGTTTAAGGTATCGTTGAATGGTTGTCTTTCCGACACGTTTTCCATCCCAGCAGGAGTCCCGCAAGGCAGTCTGCTGGGACCCTTGCTTTACAGCATTTACACTTCCGACATTCCTCCCCTTGGAGACGGTTGCGTGTTTTTCCTGTTCGCAGATGATACCGCAATAGCCGTCAAAGGAAGGATGCCTCGCGAAATAACGAACAAACTTCAACGATGCCTTAACGCCTTTGCTGATTATGCCACCACGTGGAAAATCAAAATCAATGCTTCCAAAACACAAACAATCATGTTCCTCCATCGACAATCACCCAAACTAAAACCGGCTCCCTCTTGTACTGTAATCATGGATGGCACAAGGGTTGAGTGGTCCGCCGAAGTAACCTATCTCGGGATGTTGTTTGACGAAAAGCTTCTATTCCGCTCGCATGTGGAGAAAACCGTAGTCAAGTGTTCCGCCTTGGTTAGGAGTCTGTATCCGCTGATTTGCCGCAGATCCCGCCTCTCAAGGGTGAACAAACTGGCCGTCTACAAACAAATCGTAGCACCTGCGATCCTCTACGCAGCTCCGGTGTGGGAATCATGTGCACAGACTCACAGGAACAAAATTCAGGTAGCTCAGAATAGAGTGCTGAGGATGGTTCTTGATCGTCCTTTCGACACTAGAATAACAAATTTACATGAAGAGGCAGGCATTGCCAAAATAGATTCCAAAATTAACGAAATTAAGACTAAATTTACACAAAAATGTAATTTATCAGAACATGCTTTGATAAGCAATTTGTATATAGTAGGTTAGGTGTATATAGTAGTTGTAGGTTAGTTGTAGTTGTAAATAGTAGTTATAAGTAGTCTCCTTTTTCCAATTCAAATCAAACCAATCCCACCAAGGTGGTCATACTTTAAAATAGGCCTGATAGGACTAGGAACTGTAAATAATAATTAAAATCTCAAATGTACCAAAAGTTGAAAAGACGCATCTGTGTCACTTAACAAATTCATACATGTAAACCACACAATCACAAGAAATAAAGATCATTTAAATGGCAAAAGATAGATAGATAGGTTCTACGTCATACTGCGGTCGTGTCTAGGACACAACCCTTATTTTTTTTTTTAACGTATGAGACGATATTTGAAAAATAGTTCTGGCAACACTTATTGACGCTTACGTAAAATGCATGACATTTTCTTACCATCAGAAATATTTGTTTACTGGCACTAATGCTGAAATTAATGTTTTCTCGATAAAATTCATGCAGCCCACATTGCGGCAGGTAGTTGGCAATACGTTTTGTTAAAATACTTTGCAATAATAATAGTAGAAACATTCATAATAAAGTCCTAGACCTGCCGCATAGCGTACTTATATTTCACTCAACGTAAGTGCAATTAGTGTACTAATGTATATGTGACTCATAAACATTGTAAAAGTATTCATTCTTTTTTTTTCAGAAAATGGACCGCAAAAACATGTTAAAGCTGCTCCTTGGAACTGTGGTAACGCTGCACTTGGGTTTCTACTTTGTAAAACCGCTCGTTCTGCCAGCGACTGAAACCAGCCGGACCCAATCGCTACCGGATCAAAGACCTTCATACCGATAAAAAAAAAATCAATCCACATTCAAAGGAAATCAAAGGTGCTGTGATATCTAAGATTGTAAAACTAAGGCGCTGGTTATCATTTTCAAGATTGATTGGATAATATAATTATATTGAATGAATTATGCAAAATTTGCAATTCCGAAACACACCAAGATCAAACGAACTCTTCTCGAACTGCTTTGGGTGGGAGTTTGAAACAGGATCGGCCTCTTCAAACTCCCACCCACGAAAATTTCCACCAACCAAACACCGAAGAGGGACAGCAGCCACCGGCGGCGTGCTCCGGAAACGTCTTCGCCGAGTCGCAATACGCCCAAAACGTCACATAGGACTCACCGGTCAACGTTTCCCCGGAAGCACTCCACTTTAGCTTTCCATCGCCACGGCTGGGATCGGCTCGTTTGGGGGCTGCGGCTGGTCATCATCAGCCGGCGGTTGACCACCACTGGAAGCAGCCTGGCCAATTCCACCTCCACCGCGACGAACGATGTTGGTCAAGTATTGAGCATTCTCTTGCTCCTCCAAAATGCGGAACTTTTCATCCTTGCCGACGATGGCAATGGAAATGTTCTAAAAAGAAAGTACATGTTGGGTATTTTCATTTTCTACATAATCTTAATCGCCGTACCTTATTGTTCAGCTCCACTTCGTTGGGCAAAGTGTCCTGCAGAGCCTGCACTCCGTGTCGGATCAGTTCCTCCCTGCTGCAATCCGGGAACTCGTTCAAGTGCTTTTCCAGATAGGTCCTGGCACTCTGCGATCTGGAACCAATGGACATGGCCTTGCAATCGAAGAAGTTGGCACTCGGGCAGGTCTGATAGATATGAGGTCCCTGATCGTCGAAGCCGGCCACCAGCAGCCCAACGCCATAAGGGCGTCGATCGTAGCGCTGGGTGCAGACTTGCATCTTATTGCCCACATTGGCAATCAATCGTCCAACCGGGTAGTTATCATCGTACGAGTACTTGTAGTTCAGACATTCCTGGCGCATGTACCGGCTTAGGATTCGCGCATCGGCTGTGATTCCGGCGATCGAGATTCCGAGATGGTCATCGATGGAGATGATTTTCTTCTGGTACGAGGACAGTTCCGAGGAAGCTCGCTTCAGGGCGATCAACACGGCGTATTCTTTGTTCTTGAGACCGACGGTGGCCGAACCCAGCTTGACCGCTTCCATGGCATATTCCACCTGATGAAGGCGGCCCTGAGGGCTCCATACCGTGACATCGCTGTCGTACTGGTTGCGGAACTGTAACAAGGTTAGATTTTTTTTAGTTAACAAATCAGTGCAAATAGAACCAATATTGCGGAAATAGTGACGCTTAAACGCTGAACGACGATTATAGATTGAATTGATTCGTAGTGCATCGAAATGAAGCACGGAAATCACACTTAATTTACCATTTTAAATTTCGGGATACAGTTGCTGTGTCACTTTTGGCTGTGAAATTTGTTTTACCGATGACTTGCGAGAGACCGAGGCACCGTTCACAAACACTCAAACGTCAAACGGTTTGACCATCCTCCTGCAACGAGACCAAAGTTGTTGCAAAGATGACGTATAAACAACGTTGTACTAAAATATGTACTCAAACAAGATTAGGCTCCGGTCATGTAACTCAAAATGCGTAAAATGCGGCAAGAATGCAAAATACTCGGATGGCCAGTGGGGCCAAGTATCACTGAACCAAATCACCCTCCATTTATAGAATGAAACATCATTCAGTTGCATCCAATTTAAATTTTTCTGAAAACCGTATGACAAAATCAGTCGGATGATTTTCTATTCGGAAACGTGTGATGCTCTTTTGATTGGTGAATGAATATTGTCATGTTTTTTTGTATGTATTTCGTTAGCAATACATATATTAGATATAATGAATAACATTCAGTATGGTAACGAATGAAATATCTCTTGAGATAGTTTACGTTTATATTTACCTCAAATAATTTTGTTTCGACGGTAAATTTTTCTGCGTGTAGGATCGATAGGATGGATTGAAATTTTGTGCACGTTGAAAATTTGAAGAGTGATTTGGGTAAAAATGGGATAATCCTGAAGTGTCGTTCCCCCTGGTGAGGATAAACAATTTTCACGAACACGGCGGCAGATGTCAGTTTTGTGCTTTGATCATAAATTTGATGATACTTTGTATGATCATTCATGTCGGTTTGTCGGTGCTTAAAATTCCAATAATGTCCAACGTTGATGGCCTTTAATAATTAAAGTAGCAAGTTTGGCTTTTTATTTTTTATTAGAGGGTAAATCAATAGGCCTTTTTAATGCACCACCAACGTAGAGTGCGCCACGCGAGAATTTTTAATTCAATATATTGCCAATTTCCATCGGTAATTGTCTTATTGTACGATTTTCCACAGATCTGAATTGATTTGTACCTTAACTATTCGCACACAAGAAATCAGGAAGATCATAACCACTAAGGCACTTTTCTAATTTTCTATTTTTCTCAACAAAAATATTCCTGAATACCAGCAGGATTTTTGCTAAAACAATACAGAATTAAATTTTTCAACTGTAGATCAAGTTTTGTACCATCTCTGATAAATCAATTTATCAGTAAAAGTAAAAAAGGGTTCCGTTTCCTGTCTCACGGTAGAAATTTCTGCTCACAACACTCTTTTTGACGTTTTCCTATTCATCACCAGAGGTTGAATCGATCGTTTAGTTTCAATTAAAAAGGCGTATTGCAATGATATTTTTAAAGCAACATGTTTAAAAATCTGGAACATATTTTAAAAAAAAATCTGGAAGTATACGTGGTCTGTCTGTGTATCTGGCAAGACGACTAAAAATCTGGAAAATCCAGATAAATCTGGAATACTGGCAACGCTGCTTCTGATAAACAAACGGTTTGGTTGACGTTTCTTCTCGAACTCGCGTGGCGCACTCTACACAGAGAAAAAAAATTACCCCTAATTTAAGTTCTTTTTACTTAATTTTGGGTAATTTTGAGTTTTGCATCCCACTCTCACTTTTTGTTGTTGTCAAAAAAGGGACGAGAGATTCGACTTTCTCATGACTATCGTTTAATCAGCTACTAGTGAGTATATGAGATCCCGCATAAACAATAACCATAAGAAGCGCCTAACCACCAATTCGGGATATCATCCCAACTTTATGTGGGATGCTCGCACCATCTATGATATCGTTATATATGGTACCCGTTTATTAGGGATATTCTCAAATTTGAGCCAATTTAACTTAATTTTGGGTAGAAAATACACACGAGTAAGTAATTATTTTTGCCGTAGCCAAATGCAAACTACTATAAGCGGTTTACTGAAAATTAGCTTATTGAACGGAACATGGGAGATGAGTGAAAAGAACTTAATTTTGGGTAATTTTTCGGTTCCGTGTACACACTTAGAAAATATTACCGAACTCGGTTTGATTTCAACCGAGTTTTATCTCGGGTTTTTAGGTCGGTAGTCTGTTCGGTTCAAAGAGGAATAACCGAGCTGTCGTTAGTTCTTTTTGTTACCCACAATCTGTCAGTCACCGAAAATCTCGGTAGACGAAAAATAAATTTAAGCGGAAATAACCGAACATCGGTTTACTCAAGAATTACCGAACGCTGTCAAACAAACCGACCCACCTGTTGTTATTATGGAATACGGTTCTCTTGGGCAGCGCTTTGTTTTTTCAATTCAAATCCTGCTTTAAATTTTGATTAAGGATGCGTTGCTTCAAATTTTCATAAAAATAAAACCAGGTTTGTCAAAGAAATGCATAAAATATATTTATTTAATTTAATTTGGCGAATAAAATCTTCCGTAACGTGAGTTACAGCGTGAAAAAGTACAGTCAAAACATATAACTGACTTTGAAGTCAATCTTATCAAATAGTTTTTAAAATGCCTTTGCAAGTCAGAGACATAACCTTGTATATTTTCCGATCACGGAAGTGGAAACAGATGCCTGAAAAAAATCATACCGTTAGTTTCAAATACTTACAAAAGATTTCATTCAAACGTGCATCCTCCTGTTGCAGCTGCAGAACTTTTTCCATTTTACCAAAGTTTTGCACACGTCCGACGAGCACACGCGAGAAAAAATGGCTGACTAATTTTAGATTCAGCTTAGAGAACCGAGTTTTCGGTTAAAATTTCGTCGTGAAGTTGAGCGAAAGTTGAACGTTTGGCGTTTAAGCGTTTGACGTTTAACACGAGTTTCTCGGTTTTCACGTAGCAAATTCGTAAATGTCGATACTGTACCGTACTTTTCGGTGCAGTCTCCATTTCTATACGTCAAATTTCTACTATTTGCACCGAAATTCGGGTCTGCTTCGATGAATACTAATGAAAAAATGTTTTTAAACCATTTATTCGGTTTCTCGTTGGTAACCGAAGAGGTCCGGTAGAAAATTAAACCGAGTTCGGTATTATTTTCTAAGTGTGTACGTTAGTGGTGCATTTAAAAGGCCTATTGACGATTGAATAAGGGGTGCTCAAATTAAAGAGTGTTCGAAAACTTTTTGGACATGATTTAATATCATGTTCAGTTTTTAAATTATCTTCCTCAAAATAAGTTGATCGTTTCATGCTGCCAGTAATTTTATTGATTTGTGTCTTTGTGTTTGTCTTTTCAGGTTATTTTCCATTTGCTGTGCATTTCAATAATAAAGAACTCAGTTTGGTTTACTTTTGTCCATTTCGCCTTTCTGAAATGTTGGTACCGATTTCTCTTCGTTCTGAGTTCATCTAGTTCATCTGGATTCATCAACACTGATGCATGTATTCATTTATCTGTCAAACGAAATATTCGTCTTGTTTCTTGTTCGGCGACACTTCTGTTGCTGATTCGTGATTCAAGGTCCTGCAAACTTTTCATCAGGATATTGTAGAAAAAAATCTCTTTCCCGTCGCAAAACCGTACTGCTAACAGCCAGAACAATGGCTCTGCCATTCAACACGAAAGCCCTCACCAACCGATTGTTCCTGCGCAAGTGGTGAGCGAAAATCCGAGGCTATCCTGTTTAACCTCGAAATCTGACATTTTGTTCTATTTCGTTGTAGTTGCACCATTTGGCGACCTTACGTCAGCAGCAGCAGCTCAAATGAGGGCGGCCGTGCCAGCATTCCGGACGGTCCAACCGTAAATATACCTTCCAAGGAAGTTGTAACTCCAATGCCACCGCTTTCGCAACCGGTTCCAGATCTGGCCCCAGTGCAGTATGCCCGGCCCGGAGATCAGAGCAACGTTACGCAGGTCACGCAGCTGTCGAATGGCTTACGGGTCGCCTCGGAGAACCGTTTCGGACAGTTTTGCACGGTCGGAGTGGTGATCGATTCCGGGCCACGCTATGAGCTTCCCTATCCCAGCGGGGTGTCGCACTTCCTGGAGAAGTTGGCCTTCCAGTCGACGCAATCGTTTGGCGAAAAGGATATCATTTTTAAGGAACTCGAAAAGCACGGTGGCATTTGCGATTGCCAGAGCTCGAGGGACACGTTCGTGTACGCGGCCAGCGCCGACAGCCGTGGGTTGGAATCGGTTTCGCAAATCTTGGCCGATGTGGTACTGCGACCGAGGTGAGTGAGATGTTTGCTTGTTTGTAGGAATTTGTTTAGGTGATTTTATTTCATCGTTTTTCAACTTCAATAGACTGGCTGCCGAGGAGATTGAGTTGGCTCGGCAAGCGGTTAAGTTTGAGCTGGAAACGCTGGGGATGCGTCCCGAGCAGGAACCGATTTTGATGGACATGATTCACGCAGCGGCATTTAGAGATAATACTTTAGGACTTCCGAAGCTGTGCCCACCGGAGAATGCGGATAAAATTGATAGGGACATGTTGTTGAACTATTTGAGACATCATCACACTCCGGAGCGGATGGTGCTGGCTGGAGTCGGCGTGCCGCATGACGATTTGGTGCGTTTGGCAGAGAAGTTCTTCGCTGAAGGATCTGCAACATGGGAAACGGAAAAGGTTGCTGCCAAGGAGCCATCCGGCGTGGACAGTTCGATTGCACAGTACACCGGTGGGGCAAAGTTGGAAGAATGTGCCATTCCTGTCTATGCGGCGGTTGGTCTTCCGGAGTTGGCTCACGTTGTGATTGGTCTCAAGGGATGCTCTCATCAGGATAAAGATTTCATAGCCGCTTGCGTACTGAACATTATGATGGGTGGCGGAGGCTCGTTCTCCGCTGGAGGTCCAGGGAAAGGAATGTACACTCGGCTCTACACGAACGTGCTCAATCGTTACCATTGGATGTACAGTGCCACTGCTTACAATCACGCTTACGGTGACTCCGGTCTGTTCTGCATTCATGCCACAGCACCACCCACCCACGTCCGGAGCCTTGTGGAGGTCATTACCAGAGAACTGTACACAATGCAAGCCAAGCCAGGCGACCAGGAACTGCGACGCGCCAAAACACAGCTGCAGAGTATGCTGCTGATGAACCTGGAAGCGCGACCGGTTGTGTTCGAAGACATCGGACGGCAAGTTCTGGCCACCGGCGAACGAAGACGCCCGGAGCATTTCATTCAAGAAATTGGTAAGACGCTGTAATGTTTTGGGGGAAATTCATATCGATTAAAATCTATATTTTTTTCCCACAGAAAAAATAACCGCCGAGGATATTCAGAATGTCGCCCGGAGATTCCTGTCGTCGCCGCCGGCTCTGGCTGCTCGGGGCGAGATCAAGGGCATTCCCGATGTAAAGGACATCCAGACGGCTTTGGGCGGCGAAGGACGACTGCCCGGTAATCGGCGGTTGTCGTTGTTTAGGTAAGCGAAAAAAAAATGCTACATGTTTGGCGGCGTGGGCGCCTTCGTCAGCTCGTCAGCGGCGGCTGCAGGCTGTATCTCAGCGCGAGACAAGTGTTATTGAAACTGTGAGTAACTACGTTAGATTTAGATATGATTGTCGCTTTATTTGCCTGCGGGAACTGATTCAAGTTTATTTTAAATACAAACACCCTAAAGGAAACTACTGCCGGTTGACCCCCGTTCGTGAAAGAAAGCCTTAAAGTCGAGGAATTTGTGTGGTAGTGAATGCTGCAGCAACAGGCGCTTGAGAAGGGGGCTTTTGAGCATGTGGGAAAGAGCTCTGATGAATAGAAAAAAAAATCAACTTGGGCTCGTCCGGGAATTGAACCCGGGACCTCTCGCACCCGAAGCGAAAATCATACCCCTAGACCAACGAGCCACTTGTCTGTTAGGGGTGTATGTTGGGTATTTTATACGTGATGTTGTTATGTTTATGGACATGTTAATTTGTCTTCTTGAATTTGATTCGATCTTCGATCCCTATTCAAATGGATCCACAGTTGCGTGAAAAAGCACGGCATTTTTAAGGTGACAATTTTTAATAATTTTACGATTGTAAAATTAACTTTCTGTGATCACTAGATTAAACATGAAGTTCGCAAAATTCGGAGAAGTTCTCAGACATTGTTGACGTTCGAAGAATTTCTCTGTAGATCATAAAACAACTCTGAAGTGCGCTGAAGTTCTTTAGAGCTTACAATACTTCTTCGAAGATCGCAGAACTACTTCGAAGGACCTATAAAGAGTTCCTATGTAGTTTATAATTGATCTGACAACTTCAAGGAAAGTTCTCTGATCTTAAAAGTAGGTTCTCTGAACTTCAAACGAACACCTCTGAAGTGCAAAATTATCTAAACTTTATGCGAAATTCTTTGAACTTCAGGCGAAATTATCTGAACTTCTCGGAACATCCAACAAATATTCACAGAACGCTTAATTTCCTAACAAACTCGCATAACTTTCGACGAAATGTTTACAGAACTTTCTTGAAGTTCAGAGTACCTAAAAAATTCCTAATGTTTCCAAAGTTCTCTAAAGCTCGACGAAAAGCTCAGAGAACTTCCGACAAGAAGTTAGGAGAATTTTCGATGAGACGTTCAGAGAACTTCTGATGAGAGGTTCAGAGATCTTTCGACGAGAAGTTCAGAGATTTTCTGAAGTTCCAACGAGTTCAAATAGCTTAAGACGAGAAGTTTAGAGACCTTCAGACGAGAGGTTCTGATGTTCAGAAGATGTTCATCGTACATCCGACGAGAAGTTCCGAGAACTTCCGAGGAGAAGTTCACAAAACTTCAGATCATCAGTTCACAGAACTACCGACAAGAAGTCCAGAGGACATCCGAGGAGAAGTTCAGAGAACTGTCAAGGAGAAGTTCAGAGAAATTCCGAGTAGAAGATCAGAGTACTTCAGGCGAGAAGTTCAAAGATCTTCCGAGGAGAAGTTCAAGGCTTTCGGAAAGAAATTCAGCGTACATCCGACGAACAATTCAGAGAACATCCGATGAGCACTTCACAAAATTTCTGACGCAAAGTTCAGAGAACATCGGAAGACAAATTCACAGATTCTCCGAAGAGAAATCCAGAGAGCTTCCGAGGAGAAGTACAGAGAACGACGAGGAATTCTGAGAACTACTAACAGAAGTTCCTACTAGAAATTCACAGTACGGCCGACGAGAAGTTCATCCAGAAGCACAGCATAATCCATCCCGAATCGGCAACGCGTTTCTTGGCAAACATGGAACATAATTTAGGGAAAATAGAATGTTGCGGCAAGCTCCGTTGGGGCATTTTATATTATTGCCGACCCTTTCAATCACTTAACCAAATACGATGCGTATAACTTTTGCGAATTCATTTGCTGCAGCCGATCGGATGATGAATAGTGCACCCGCAGAAGAACGTTCCGATTGGGACCAAGCCCATAACAAACTGTCAGGTAGCTGCGGTCGGAACAAACATAAACAGAAAAATTACATAAATCCTCGTGCATGGTGTGTGTGTGTGTATGAGAGAGCAGATTTAGATGACTGCGTTCGCTTGGAAAATCCGAGATTTTCTCTAATACGCCGAAATCGTTACAGTTACAGTTACTGTACAGAAAGTTGTTCCTGTTTTCCGCTTTTATTTCTACTCTACATAAGAAGATGCTAAAGAATCTGTACACATAATTGTCTGTATGGGAATCGATCTAAGAGCTAGGTAGTCAATTTCTTTGATGTCATTTCAAAGCGATAAAATCAAAGTAAAAACGTGTTTTAGGTAGGTAGTTGTTCCACATATTTATTACGTGTATACTTAATCTTTACTCTAATAACATAAATCTAATTCTATGTACAATGCAGAGCCCAAACCAACATGGGAAAAGAACCGCCCGAGCCAAACCGAAACATTGAGTTTACTGGTTTTTCCCGCCTTTTACTCATGCTGATCTAGACGAGGAAATTTTCCTCAAAGTCGGTCCCAAAAGAGCGCCTTACCACTGGCTTACTTCTAAAGTAAGCCTTTTTAAAAACCATGCAGCTCCAAGCTGACCAAGCTTAGTTTTTCCGAAAGCTCTGCAAAATTGGATAGATATTCTCCAGGCCGTCGACGACTTCCCGTTCCGATTTGGCTCCGGTGAAGACGATCTTCCCGTTGACGAAGATGAGCAGCACGACCCGTGGCTTCACCATCCGATAGATCAGCCCTGGGAACAGTTCCGGTTCGTACGAGCTGAACTGGCCGTGCACTTGGTTCAGATTCTCCAACCGAATGGGAAACCGCAGATCTACGGTGGCGACCAAATTCTGTACCTTAAACTCCAGGAACCGTACGTTGTAGCCCAGCTTCTGGATGATTCGTGCAAATTTCCGCGCCGCCAGGTAGGCATCGGCTTCGTTGCGGGCCCCGGTGCAGACGATTTTCCCCGACCGGAACACCAGCGCCGTACAGCGGGGCTCGCGTATCCTCATCACGACGCCGTGAAACCGAGCTGGATTGTATTCGGAGTTTCGCAGGCGGAAGTTGATGGCCTGAAGATTCAGTTCGCAGCCTAAACTGACTGTGGCTACACAGTTCCTTACCAGCATGGAATTTATGGCTTCCTGTGGCCCGGTTGGCATGGGTATTTGCATTACCATGCTGCTTTGTGGTTGTAGCTGCGGAGCAGATTATAATTAATTCTTCAGAGCTAGCTAGCTAGCGTAAACGAAGCTTACCTTCATAGTGCTGGTACCTGGTGGTCTCGGCAATGGACTGGCCAGCAGTGATCTGAGCTGACTTTCTGGAGTCGGTTTCTCCATTTTGATGGAATTTGCAAACTATATTGCAATTTATTAAACTTTTTTCCTTGATCTGATTAAAGGTACAACCAGCAGGGTATTGTAAACTAAATAAATAACAATTATTACAGTTTTACGGAAAGCGCACGAATCACAACAATGCCGCTGCGAGGATGCACTCCACACTCCGTGCGCTCGTCAGCGAAGAAAATGAAAGTGCACCGCGATCTGTCAAATAGAATGCAGCTCTGAAAAATGAACTCGAAATGTTCATTCGGTGGCGTGTGGAAAAGAGAGCAGAGGAGAGTGAAGTGCCTCATCTCGATCCTCACGGAGATGAAAAACTACCCAAAATTGAGTACTTTTCCCTTAATTGATCATTTTATCAAACTTCTGCATTCATGTTCCATCAGATGTCATCTATCGGAAACTAGACACAATCTGTTTTCATATAATTGTTCACAGAGGACACTGCAGTGCAAAACATGTCTGGTACCCCTATATATGCATTTAGATTATTATTCGAAGTCCCTCCTTTTTTACACTTCTGCACACAAAATAGCTCACCCCTCACAGAGTTTCCCGCCGAATTTTATGTATGGGGCGGGGCATAAAGTATCTTTTGCGCAGAATATGTAAAAAAGGAGGGACTTCAAATGTTAAAGCAAATGCATATATACACAGCAAAAAAAGTTGTTGAATATTACATCGAAACTGCTGCAACCAGGTCAATCCATCGGTTGTATAATATCACATTGTACGATGTACATCGATTTTGCGAACAAAATTACATCCATTGATGTAATATTGTATCTGCTTTTTGCTATTACATCATTATTCCATACATCAGCTTGAATTACGTTGATCGATATTACATTTTTTTTTGCTGTGTAGAGGTACCAGACATGTTTTGTAGTGTCAGGTACTCTATTTTGTAATCTGTGAAAGGGAAATCACAAATCGAGTGTCAACAAAATACATGGCATGTTGAGAGATTGAGCTCGTGAGAGAGAATTTCTCTCTCAAATTTAAATTTTTTGGCTCTCTGGGACTGGTAGTAAAGCAGGTAAAACTGTATGGGGAAAAATCATTTTTATTTAATTGTAGCTTGTTTAGCATTAATTTCCGGGAAAAAACTGAACGACAAAGCCCCTGACTAATTTCTTAAGGTTGTCGTTCACTTTTTTTGACCTGAATATACACCGGAAGCGAATTATTCGCACTTCTCTCAATTTCTAAATGGGGATTTTTATCACTTCCTACCAGCGGAACAGCGCCATCTCTATGGAAAATGGTCGAACAAAATGATTAATTCCCGGCAACAGCCCATTTACCTAATTTTGAGTAAATTGCATACACGGTAACCGCAAAATACCCAATAATGACTACAAAGTAAGCATTTTCGAGGGAAACTGGGACTACCCATTAAATGAGTAACATTTTACCCATTTATGAGTAATTACAACTACAAAAATAAATAGTAAGTATTCATTTTTGAGTAACAAATACTCATAATTGGGTAATGATGGGCCTTTTTAATGCACCACCAACGTAGAGTGCGCCACGCGAGTCCGAGAAGAAACGTCAACCAAACCGTTTGTTTACATCAGAATAAGTATTTTCCCCATCGCAAATAACAGCATTTTTAAAATCTTGCCAATTTCCATCGGTTATTGTCTTATAGTACGATTTTCCACAAATCTGAACTGATTTGCACCTTAACGATTCACACACAAGAAATCCGGAAGATCATAACCACTAAGGCACTTTTCTAATTTTCCATTTTTCTCAACAAAAATATTCCTAATCACCAGCAGGATCTTTTCAAAAACGTTACAGAATTAAATTTTTCAACTGTAGATTAAGTTGTGGAGCACCTCAGATGAATCAATTTATCAGGAAAAGTAAAAAAAAGTTCCGCTTCCGACACTTAAAGATAAATTAAATCAAAAAAGCTTAAAAAGCATGCAGATTCCCGCTTCACCTTATTGAGTCCGAGTCATGATTACTTCGGCAGTAGTCATGCATGATTAAATTCGAAATAATCTTTCGAGTATTAAATTTTATTATTTTTCAATACTGATATATAATCAAAAAAGATTGAAATTCAATCAAAAATTATTAAAAAAGAATCAAAAATGATTAATATTTACTCAAAAGAAAATAATCTACAATCTTATGAACCATGATTAAACTGGGATTAATATCAGATGCTTATTTTTTAGTACGAGAGGATTACTTTTTAATCATTCGATATGATTAAACTGAGTTTAATGTCAAATTGATTAAATTTCAAGCAAAATGGGAATAGTTCAATTTATCAGTGTATGTGTCAAGGCGAAAATTTCTGCTCACAACACTCTTTTTGACGTTCTCCTATTCACCACCAGAGGTTGAATCGATCGTTTAGTTTCTATTAAACAGGCCTATTGGCTTACTACTTGACTAGCCTATTGATCATTTTGTCAAGCTTCTGCATTCATGTTCCATCAGATGTCACAGCTGTTGTTTGCGGTGACATCTATCGGAAACTAGACACAATCTGTTTTCCTATAATTGTTCACAGAGGACACTGAAGTGCAAAACATGTCTGGTACCTCTATATATGCATTTAGATTATTATTCGAAGTCCCTCCTTTTTTACACATTCTGCACACAAAATAGCTCACCCCTCACAGAATTTCCCGCCGAATTTTATGTATGGGGTGGGGCATAAAGTATCTTTTGCGCAGAATATGTAAAAAAGGAGGGGCTTAAAATGTTAAAGCAAATGCATATATAGAGGTACCAGACATGTTTTGTAGCGTCAGGTACTCTATTTTGTAATCTGTGAAAGGGAAATCACAAATCGAGTGTTAACAAAATACATGGCATGTTGAGAGATTGAGCTCGTGAGAGAGGATTTCTCTCTCAAATTTGAATTTTTTTGGCTCTCTGGAGACTGGTAGTAAAGCAGGTAAAATTGTATGGGGAAAAATCATTTTTATTTAATTGTAGCTTGTTTAGCATTAATTTCCGGGAAAAAACTGAACGACAAAGCTCCTGACTTAGTTTTTTAGGTTGTCGCTCACTTTTTTGGACCTGAATATGCACCGAAAGCGAATTATTCCCACTTCTCTCAATTTCTATATGGAGATTTTTATCACTTCCTACCAGCGGAACAGCGCCATCTCTGTGGAAAATGGTCGAACAAAATGATTAATTGGCAAATCAAAGTTGGCACTCGTGGAGAATAGAAGAACTATGAAAGTAATGGTGGTTTCAAAATTTTCCACGGGGAAGTATACGAGTGCAATTTTAAAATGCTTTTATTTTGCAAATGGAGCATTTTATTTAAATCTGGTTGCTGCTACAGTGGTAGAAAAGCTCAAATCTATGTGTACACAGCAAAAAAAAATGTATTATCTGAGCTGATGTATGAAATAATGATGTAATAGCAAAAAGCAGATACAATATTACAACAATGGATGTAATTTTGTTCGCAAAATCGATGTACATCGTACAACGTTATATTACACAACAACACAACCGATGGATTGACCTGGTTGCAGCAGGTTGGATGTAATATCACAAACGAAGTGACAGACGGAGCGGCTCGAAAACTTTGGTGAGTAACCTGCTATTGCAATTTTTCAGTGTACCACATGGCAACACCACTACTACTGGACAAGGTTGCAAAGACTCATTTCAGCTAAAATAATGTTTTTCGGAATAATAAAACCAAACGATGGTATGATGGCATGTTTTACTTGTAACTTACAAGAAGAGGTTACAAAGTATGCGTTGGAAACATAAAACCTGTAAATTTTGCTTTCTATGAGTCACAATCAGCGATTTGCTGATCGCTGAGTGAGTGAGTGAGTGAGTGAGTGAGTTTGTGAAAAATCGCTGACTGTGACTCTCATGAAGTGAAATAAACAGGTTTAATATGTCAAACACATTCTTTGCAACCTCTTCTTGTATCCTACCAATTCGAAATTTGATCATGGCATCTAATTATTTCATAATTTAGAAAAACATTGTTTTAGCTGAAATGAGTCTTTGCAACCTTGCTACTGGATTGTACCACATGGCAACTGACAGTCCAGGAATCAATTTAGACAAACACTTTCTCGAAAATGGAACGATCAACAACAGAAGGATTTTCGAACATTCTAATTTATTTGTCAAATTTAAGTGAAAATTCACCAAATAGAACGCAGCCTTAGGCTGTGGTCCATTTGGTGAATTTTCACTTAAATTTGACACTTCGAAACTAAATTATAATGTTCGAAAATCCCTCTGTTGTTGATCGGCCAATTTTCGAGAAGGTGTGTGTCAAAATTGATTCCTTGTCTGTCAGATATAAGTCTGCTGGAATAGCAGGTTAATTTGGAAATTTTCCATCTGTCAAGTTTAAGTGAAAATTCGCCAAATGGAACACAGCCTTAATACCAGCAAAAAAAAAATACTTACTCTCAGTATATTCTACTCAAAATTAAGTTTAATTCGCGTAAATGTGAGAGTTTGTAATTTACTCAAAAATAACTTATTGGGCTGAATTATATCGTTGGGTCGATTCTCTTGTTCCTTTTATTGACAACAAAAACGAGTGCAAGTTATTTTTTTTGGGAAAGGAATGATATTGGAACCATTATATTTATCATTTGGGAACTTTAATGGTAATGGTTATGATAATCGGTAAGGTTCATAGATGGTTTTGTAACATCCATCTAACAACTTTATGTGGAATATATCGCGAATTGGTTGCCTTTAAATTACTGATTACCAATTCGCGATATATTCCACGTAAAGTTGACCGATAATACAAAACCGTTAATGAACCTTACTGGTTACCATAATCATTACCATTAAACTTCTCAGTAAGTAAAAAAGTTCTAATATAGTCCTCTCTCCGAAAATGTATAGAGAAAAGAACTATTTTGAATGGTGATGATTCTTAACAACCCATTATTTGTAAGGTTCACTTCCAAAGAACCATAATATATAAGGTTAAAACTTTATCACACAAACGTTCATGTAAAGTTCCATAACCATTTCAGTTAAAGTTTATCAGGGATTATAAACAATTTTTAACCATTTTCGGAAAGGTTAAGTTATGGTTCACGTTTATGCGGGATGTTTTCTGAGCAACCTGGTATCATTCGAGAACATCTAATAAATGTGATTTGAATTTTTAGAAAGTTGAAGATCTTAAGAATAATAAGGCTGTCCACGAGACAGTTGCGATCGGCTGACTTTTTTGTTTACCAAGAACTTTTGACAGATCACAGTAGAACCTGCAGTAGAACCAACAATCAATACGAAACTAACGATTATAAATTGGCTCACTACTTGACTAGCCTATTAGTCCCAAGCAAATCGATTAACGTACCCCATTCTAGTCAAAATTCTAGTATAACACTATGTTTGTTTTGATTCGCCATGAAAGTTTGACAGATAAAATGAGGGGTTCGCAGATTTTCCTATGTTTCGAGGGGTGCATCGATTTGCTTGGGACCGAAGAGAGTACCAGAGCTGAGCCAAAAAGTTGAGCAAGTTTCTTCGGGACCTTCTGGTCTTAGAGTTATAACTCTAAGACCAGAAGGTCCCAAAAAAAACGAGCTCAACTTATTGGCTCAGCTCTGGTACGATCTTCGGTCCCAAGCTAATCGATTCACCCCTTTGTTTTGATTCACTATGAAAGTTTGTCAGATAAAATCAGGGGTTATTTAATCGTTTGCATGGGACGAATCCAGTATTTTACGATCGCGCTTATGGCCGCCACAATCTGGTTGAGTTTCTGGTAAGGTACATAAGATTTGAAGTTTGGCTTGTGTTGTTTGACGTGTACACGTTCAAATTTGAACGTTTACACGTCAAACGACACAACCCAAACGTCAAATCATATGTTCCCTACCAAAAACGCAGTCAGATTGTGGCGGCCATACGCGCTCCTAAAATACTGGATACACGCTAACTTAAAAGTACCCATTAAAGAGTAAAAAAAGACCCATTTTGAAGAAAAGTGGCTTAAGTCATGAAATGAGTAAAACAGACTTTACTCATTAATGAGTATTCGATGAATACGTCAAAAAAAATACCCTTCTTGTTTCTGTAGATGAGTCAAAAGTACCCATTTTGTTGATTTGTGTTTTGCTGCATGGGGCTACCTGGCATTTAACCAATTAAATGCTAAATATTTGAAACACGTCATACTCTTTATTGTATAAAATCAAAATAATTCTAATGTATCCGAGTTCCGAGGCATAAAGTTGTCCTTGCGAACGAACACTTTTAGAACTCGATCCAGTTCACTGCTGGTTGGTCCGCAAGAGATGCTCCTCATCGGTCGGCTCATCTCACAGGCCCGCTTTTCCCTTTTTAGTCTGAAACGGACCACATTTTCATAATACGTGTCATAATTTTCATCATGATTGCACTTCTAATTCTTACCTCGTAACAATCGGTTCCAAATTCCTAAAACGACGATTTTTTAAATGGTTTCGGTGAGTTTTGTCTCGAATGAAACAGATAATACTCGTTTCGTGAATGATCACAACGCTCACTTATTAAAAAAAGTTAAACACTTTGGGTCTTCACTTCGTCAGAGATGTGTTGGCGTTGATTGAAAGCCTGTTTGTACCCATTCTTTTTTGCAGAAGACATTTCAGTGCCAACATTTCAAAGGGGCGCAATTGCATTTGTAAACAATGGTTTTAGTCGTCGATTTCTCGCGAATGAAAGCTCACTAATAAAAATGAATGACACCAGCAGGTAGAGAAATGTTTCCTGTACCAGCTAGCATTGGTAATTTGGAAGGGTGGGCTTTTATTTGCAAGAAATCGACGGCTAAAGCCATTGTTTACAAAAGCAATTACGCCCCTTTGAAATGTTGGCACTGATTTACTCAAATGGGGAAAAAGTTCCCGCTTTTCGTGTTTTGAGAATACTCATTTTTTGACAGATTTGAATAACTTCAAAAAATGAGTACAAGATACTCATTTAATGGATACTTTCGAGTTAGCGTGTAGGCTAATTTTTGCAATATGATAAACAAATGATATCTATGTGTCGGACACATACTTAATATGTGTACCAGGGCTCTACAATTTCGAAGCTCTAAAATGAACTCGTGTTTTGTTTCTCTCATACATACGTGTTCGACGCTTCATTTCTATAACGCCTAGCTAGACTATCAGCATGAAACGAAAATAAAAAAGAAGGACGCTTGGAAGGAAAGGCTGGCTATGGAACTTCTCGTCGTTGCTTTGCTCATCGCTTTCAATGTAAATAACGTCGATTTTCTAGTTAAACGAACTTCATTATGGCTTTCAATCCCCTTTCACGAACACTCTATCGCCGCTCTTTCAATTTGTTTAAAATGCGTTATGTCCCGTTTTCGATCATTTTTTTAGATAAATATATGGATGGAAGATAAATTAGAAATATGAAGTGTAATCTTCAAGTGTTTTGACGTGAGAAATGCTTGAAATGTGTTATTTCATTTTCCGTCATATACGTCATGAAACCTCTGTTGATGTGTTTCATGAAAGAGAAAACTATCAAAGTCGAGCGCTCTTTCGCTCATCCATTTCGACGAAGCTTGAAAGGAAGACCAATGGAGCGACGGGAGAAAGAGAGACAAGCGATTGAACATTTGTTTGTGCACGCCGACTGAGGTTCTAGAATGCTGCGAAGCTGTTCGACTTTAACAGAAAAAGAAAGCCAGCAGTCTCTTCGTCGCATCGATTTGGTCGATTGAAGCTGATATTGTGACGCCCTGATGTGTACACATAAACGCCATGAGTAACCACACATCTCGCCACACATACTATTCATTTGACTCATAAATTTCATGTGTGCTTCTGGGCGAGCTTCTGGGTGGATTCTGTTTATGTGTGCTCGCATGAAAATCATGTGGAATTTAACATGGAAATTCGTCAATAAAAATGTGTGGAATTCTTTTAGTGTAGTCAAGTACACAGTAAAAAAAAAGTAATATCGATCAACGTAATTCAAGCTGATGTATGAAATAATGATGTAATAGCAAAAAGCAGATACAATATTACATCAATGGATGTAATTTTGTTCGCAAAATCGATGTACATCGTACAACGTAATATTACACAACCGACGGAATGATCTCTGAGCAGCTGTTTGGATGTAATATTCAACAACTTTTTTTTCTGTGTAGTGAGCCAATTTAAAATCGTTAGTTTCGTATTGATTGTTGATAAACCAGTTTTCCCGAGGTTGAAACCGATTTACTTCAGGGGTCAAATTGCGCGTCTTGAAACGAAAAACTTTTTCATACAAGCATTCTCTTTCGTTTCGAGATTCGCAATGTGACCCCAGACTTTTCTTGCAAAATTTTCAAAAAAAAGCTCTAAGTCGAAGATGTGGAAAAAAAAAACAGACAAAAATTGGCAACACTGCCTCTGAGGCACTGATTTTTAGTACAAAATTTTACACGTCACATCGATGACAGCAGAAAGTTCTCCGCGGAGCAACGACGAGCTGTCAAGTGTTTTTTTTTCGCACCTCCATATCATCATCGGGTCCCGAAAAAAAAAAACGGCACCAGAAAATTTTTCACTCCACCAGTTATCGACCACGGAAAATTGCTGGAAAATTTTCACCGGAAATGTGTCATTTCTAGTGCCGTGTCAGTGTGAACGGAGTGGCCGGATCGGGGGCAGAAAAGTGCTTTCATTCATTGGCAAATCTGTCGGCACTCGGCGCTGTCGGCTGGTCGGGAAAGAGAAGAAACTGTGCGGTTGTTTGCTTTGGAGGAGCATCCGTGCGGATCACGAATCGGTTCGTGGGTTTGTGTGGGGGTGAAAAAAGTGCGACTGTAGGCTGGGCCCGGGGTAGGAAAGGAGGAAGAAGATGGCTGAAGGGAAGCGCCGGAGAGACGGCTCCCTGGATGAGTTGGTGCAATATGTTACGTTGCACATTCCGAGCCACGTCCTGCTGAGTGGAAGTACGCTGCCGTTCATGCTGGTGTACGCCCTCTGGGGCTATCTGTGGCTATGCGTGTACGGAGTGGAGGAGTACTGGGAGGCGGGACTGTTGACACTGGCCGGGATCGGATTCGTGCAGATTCTCGTGTGCCTCTGCTGCTTTTGGAGTGTGCACGTCCAGGTTTTTCTCAACTGCCGGAAGGTAAGTGTGTGTCTGTGTGTGTGGGGGGGGGGGGGGATTATGTTCTTGGAATGGAAATAGTCTTTGAACAGTGCCAGAAAAAAATGCTGATAGATAGTAAGGTTTTAAACATGAAAGAAAAACATAGCCAATGAGAGTCCTGTAAAAATGAAACAATATAAGACTATGACTATGGCTTTAGAGTCCTCCTTCCCTATTTTGTTTCCCATTTCCTAAGTCTAAGGACAGAGGTTCCCTGCACACTATGGGGGTTAATCAGAGAGTCGAAGTGACTTGATTTTCACAGAGAGTCACGTCACGTCACGTCACCACAACGTGACTTTCCCCACTTCACTAGTGACTAAACTGCATGAAAACTAAATGAAAATTCAGAATATTCTGGGAAAGAGAGGGCTCACGTCCAACCGATGTTAATTATTGTTTTGTCAAATCAACTTAAATAGCACTCGACAAAGTTAAACCGTTAAACCGTCTTATTCAACCGGATTACTACGCAAATGTATCTACGCACACACGTCACAGCATTTTGACGTATACTACGTCTAACGGGAAGGTACTGGGGGTAAATCGAAAATTGCGACCGTCACGAAAAGATGTAAGGTTTTGAACGCTTATAACTTTGTCATTTATTGATGAAATTTAAATCCAAATACACCAATCGAAGGGAATTACTCCCATAATCTGCTACAATATTTTAAATGGGTATTATCCATAAAAAAAAACTGTTGAAAAATGTTCACAGTCACCCGCGGACTAGAAATTCTGAGATCCACTTCCTGGCTGGAATTCAAACATTAAAAGAACGGAGAGTATTCATCCTGGAAAGGTTCAGAGACACCTGTCTGAGATCAAATCATCAGATCATACGTGATCTAGCACGTTAGGTTAAGTTATACTCGTAGTTAGGTAGGTTATCACTTTTTTCAATTCAAATAAAACACATCTCCAAAGGGATATTCTGTAAACTAGTTGAAAAACGCCAATATTAAATTAGAATATCAAATTAAACAAAGATGAAGAGCCAGGTAGGCCAATCAATTAAAATGATAAATCAATGTACTACCATAATCAACAGAAATAAGGTGATGGCATTTTGTGCAACTCTCCCAGATTGGTATACCGTACTTGATTACAGGAAGGATGATTTGATTGTAAACAGCATGTTTATTTTTCAGGGACAGGGTTGACTTCCTGTTTATAAGTGGATACAACGATCTTATCAAGATGTTGCACTTGGTTTTCGTTTTGTCAACGTGCTCCCTGAAAAGAAGCTTGCTGTCTAGTGTTAGCCCGAGGTACACGACCTCTTTGGATCATTCCACCACTGTGCCGTTCAGGCAGATCTTGTTATTCTCTGACGGAACCAGTCTAGGAGATTTAGAGTGTGGAAAGATAATGACCTGGGTCTTTGCCGCGTTGAAACGGATCTTCCAGCTGTTGAAATATTCAGACAGGACGTTCAGGCCTCTCTGAAGTTTGGCAGTCAGAGCTCCGATGACCCTACCCTTGTAGACGATGGATGTGTCATCTGCGAACAGAGACAACGATCCACCATCAGGGAGAGCCGGCATATCGGAGGTGAACAGGTTGAATAGGATGGGGCCAAGAATGCTTCCTTGTGGAACCCCGGCACCGATGTTGAAAGCATCCGATGAGATGCCATTCAGAGAGACTCGGAACGTCCTGTCTGATAGATAGTTGTTTATGATCTTCACTAGGAAGATTGGAAGACCGTACTGCTGCAATTTGAACACCAGGCCATCATGCCAGACATTGTCGAATGCTTTTTCAACGTCCAACAACGCCATGGCAGATGTTTTCGAAACAGACTTGTTCCGTCTGAGAATGTTTGTTACTCGAGTCAGCTGGTGGACGGTCGAACGACCTTTCCGAAAACCAAACTGTTCCTCGAGTAAGATGTTGTTTTGTTCGGCAGATGTTAGGAGCCGGTGGTAGACTGCTCTTTCGAACAGTTTTGATAATCCTGAGAGAAGGCTGATTGGTCGATAACTTGAAGGAGAGGACGGATCCTTCCCAGGTTTCCGGATGGGTACCTGAGATCCAGATTCAGGATGTTGTCGAAACCTGGGGCCTTCATGTTTTTAGATGATTTGATATAGGCCAACAGTTCGTCAGCCGTAATCTCGGATTCCTCTGGAAAAATGTTAGGAATCTGAAGAAGATTGGTTGCATTTTCAGCAACCTCAGATTCATGAGGGCTGACGATGTTTTGTCCGAGATTATGGGAGCTAACGAAGCGTTGACCTATCGCGGCAGCCTTCTCTTCAAGAGTTATCAGATGAACCACTGGGTCGTCGGGACGATCCAGTGGGATCAGTGGTGGAATGAGCCTAGGCTTGTTTTTAAGAATTTTTGTACGTTTTCAGAAGGGCTTAGCACTGGTAGAGAGCGGATCTTACTAGCAAAATCATTATTTCTGAGATCCACCATCCTGGCCTGAATGATCTTTGTTAATCTATTACAAATGGTCTTCAAGTTGCGAGATGTTGTGTCCCATGTTGGTCGATGGTCGCATGGACCCCAGACCGACTCAACCGGGTGGGAGAGTCCGGCATCAAAATATACCATGTGGCCCTCTTGCAGGTCTTCATTGAGGATGATGCCGTTTCTATTGCTCCGACCGTTGCCTCAAGCTTGATGTTTTGCGTTCAGATCGCCAGCGATGATAAAGTTCCCGCTCCTCCGGGTGAGTTTGATGATGTCTTTCCGGAGGGCCACTGACGACCCGTCCCTAATTTTGGTTTGCTTGGGGCAAGTGATGTGCTCACCTCCACTCCGATGGCTTCAATTGTTTTCAGCTGGAAGTTTGGTAGCAGCCGAAAGTCGTTTGACGAGCCGAAAGTCGGGAAGGAATATGTTCAGTTCGGGCTTCAAATGCGTCTCGGTGATGATAGCAATGTCGACCTCCTTGGTGTTGAGAAAATTGAGTAGCTCTCTATGCTTGTTCTCTAGTGAGCAAGCGTTCCAATTTGCAATTTTTATAGCTTCACGGTCCATACTTGGTGACGAGTGACAAGGCAGCATGAAGCTGTTAAGATCTTGTCTTGCAGGTACGCATGATGATGATGACCTCGGCCACAAGCGTCACAAGTTCCTCCGAGGTGAACGGAGAATCGTCGACAGATTCACCTGAGACAGCACCAGCGTATAATAAACCAGGGGCGGTGGATGAACCTGGAATTGGCTGGGCCGCAGCAACAGCGAGACGATGCTGATGCATTTGGATACTCGCGGGATTGGCTTGTTGGTTGTTGAGCGGAAGTGGGGCTAGGTTCGGAACATGTCGACGGGGCTGGAGAGCTGGGTACTGGACTTCCGGCGAACGATGATTACGGAGGCGACCGAGCTGGTTGTTGATTGTGGCCTTCCGACGGATATTAATGAACTCCACTCGCTTGGGATATCCGCGATTGGAGGCTTGGTGGCTTCCACCGCAGTTGACACACGTTGGCTCGATGTCATCGACTTGCTCACAGGACGCAGTTGAGTGAGTTCCAGCACACTTGCCGCAGTTTGTCTTCATGTGGCAGTTTTTGGTGCCATGGCCATATGAGAGGCAGTTCATACACTGCGTTACATCACGATGTTGGGGTTTGTAATGCTCCCAACTGATGATGACCTGAAACAGGTCCCGGATGTTGGATCTTAGAGCCGCAAGACTGGTGGATCCCTTCGTGAAATGCACCAGGAACAACTGATCACGGAAGCTGGGGTTTTGGTTCGGACGCCGGTTCATCGGGTACACTGCTTGAGCCAGAACCGCTCCAGCTCGGATTTTACCGCAGTCGCCTCTAACGACGGTAATCCACGCAAAACCACCTTCAGTGGCTTGCTCGATGGCAGATCATGCTTAAAGTAGTCCACGTTGTTGTCCTTCAGGAAACTTCCTATTTGTTTGTACTCCTCCAGGCTGGAGCACATTATTTTGGTACCGATGCTGCAAAGCTTGAAGCGAGGCAGCAGCTTGTGTTTTGCCAGTTCGGCACCCAGCTTGGCAACATCCTTCACCGGCGTGAAAAGCGGGGGAATCCGCTCTCGTCTTGCAATGGGAACGGCGTCACCATCACCATTTTCTTCCGGGAGTACTGCATACTGGTTGGCTTGCAGTACTCGTTTTCCGGCGTCATCCTGCGACGCGCTGGGCTTGCTGGCTCATTGGCACGTTTACGCACCATTTGTTTCGTGTTTGCAAATTCAAGTAAACTTGCCAGAACGCGAGAAGGTGGCGACACTTCCACGGCGCAACGCGACAGCCCAAAACGAAACAAAATCGAATCGAGAACTCGAGCGAAAATACGGACTGAACAGCTCGACAGTCGAGCAAAGAATGAGCACTGAAATTTGCCATTTAAATGATCTTTATTTCTTGTGATTGTGTGGTTTACATGTATGAATTTGTTAAGTGACACAGATGCGTCTTTTCAACTTTGGTACATTTGAGATTTTAATTATTATTTACAGTTCCTAGTCCTATCAGGCCTATTTTAAAGTATGACCACCTTGGTGGGATTGGTTTGATTTGAATTGGAAAAGGGAGACTACTTATAACTACTATTTACAACTACAACTAACCTACAACTACTATGTACACCTAACCTACTATATACAAATTGCTTATCAAAGCATGTTCTGATAAATTACATTTTTGTGTAAATTTAGTCTTAATTTCGTTAATTTTGGAATCTATTTTGGCAATGCCTGCCTCTTCATGTAAATTTGTTATTCTAGTGTCGAAAGGACGATCAAGAACCATCCTCAGCACTCTATTCTGAGCGACCTGAATTTTGTTCCTGTGAGTCTGTGCACATGATTCCCACACCGGAGCTGCGTAGAGGATCGCAGGTGCTACGATTTGTTTGTAGACGGCCAGTTTGTTCACCCTTGAGAGGCGGGATCTGCGGCAAATCAGCGGATACAGACACCTAACCAAGGCGGAACACTTGACTACGGTTTTCTCCACATGCGAGCGGAATAGAAGC